TAGACGAGCAGGTATATCCCAGAATGCTTTGCGAGGAGAGCTCTCTTTGCAAAGCACTGTTGGATTTGTTGTGACAGTGGCGGCAAAGAACCAAGATGGCGGAGGCACCGTGCGTGGAGGCGGAGTCACATGACCAACCAGAAGTGAAAAGTAGTGATCACCTGTTTGAACGGTCAGAGTTCACTATATAGCGTAGGACTGAAACAATCCGATTAATCGACTATTGAAATAATCATCAACTAACGGATTAATGGTTAACTGGAGAATAGAGACTGAAAAACATGACAGACCCACTTAGAGCAGGAATTATACCAAGATTGTAAAATAAATAAAATAAAAATAAAGATTTTTCATTAAAGATTTGTCAGAATGCTGGATAATCCAGAACTTCTCACCTGGAAAGGTTTTAGTTTCAGTCGGATTAATTTCCCTTTAAGGAACCTTTGGCTATCAGATTATTAATGGATTAATCGGAAAAATAATCGACAGATGAATCTAAATAATGGTTAGTCGCAGCCCTAGTATAGTGCTGGAGGGGTCAGAGGTCACGGAGGACATTCGGTCGCAGTCAGACAGCAGAAGTTGGATTTCTGTCATTTTCAGGTCAGTTTTTCTGCTTCCTGTTTACCTGCTCTGCGATCTCCTGCCTCCTCAGCTCCAGCATCCTCTGCTGCTCGTTGGTGTGGTCCAGGATGTTCTTTCCGCCTACGAGGAGCTTGCTCTCCATGGCCTGGACGTGATCGGAGGTCAGAGAAGAGGAAGCGGGTCAGAAGCAGAACGTCTGGGGAACAGGTGAAGGAGCAGACTCTCATTTCTGGCTTACCTTGACTTTAGCGGCCAGCATCTCTCCCACTTCTCTCTCCCTCCTCAGATCCTCCATCTTCTTCTCCTTCTCCCTCAGCAGCCGCTCCTTCTCCTCAGCCACCAGGCTGTGGTCCTCCAAGATGGCCGCCTTCTCCTGCTCCAGCTTCTCCTGCTGCTCTCTCCAGTAGTCTCCTCCCTCAGACTCGTCGTCCTCCGTCTCTCCGTCCTCCAGCTCGTCTCCGTCGCTCCCGTCCCTCTTCCTCCGCCTCCTCCTTTTCTTCTTGCCCATGCGTTTCTCCAGCTGCTTCTTCAGTTTGGCGATCTGCTCCTGTAACTCCCCGAGCAGGGCGTCCTTGGGGTCCTCGTTGATGCGCGGCTTGTTCTTGATGTTCTTGGCCCTGTTGGCGTAGCGCAGCGTGGTCAGGGTCTCCTCCATGTTGTAGGAGGCGGGGCCGATGTTGGCGACCATGACGGTGCGAGCGTTCCCGCCCAGGGAGTCCTGCAGCAGGCGGGTGAGCTTGGAGTCCCTGTAGGGGATGTGGCTGCACCTGCCGTCCACCAGAGCAGAGATGACGTTCCCCAGGGCCGAGAGCGACAGGTTGATCTTGGTGGCTTCCTTCAGCCTCTCGCCCTGAGCGCCCGTCTTCGTCTGCCGCTCGCTCCCCGCCAGGTCCACCAGGTTCAGCTTCCCCACCCGGATGTGGTTCTCTCCGTCCACGCCCAGCTCGCTGCACTCCACCGTGATGACGAAGATGGCGTGAGAGCGGGAGCTGTGCTCGTTCATGTTGGTGGATCCCACAGACCGGTTCTGGTTGCCCAGATTCATCACGCCCTCGATCTCCTGCGCGCTCTTGGTGACGTACGAGAACAGGTCCTTCACGTACACCCCCGTGTCGGGCCTCTCCCGCAGCTCCAGGCGGTGGGACTGGTCTTTGGAGAGCAGGTCCCGGATCTCCTCCTGGTAGATCTCCAGATACGACGCTCTCACCAGGTACTGCTGGTTCTGGGAGCGGGAAATGTGCGTGAAGATGTGCTCGAAGGAGTTGGGGATCACCCCTCTCTTCTCTGGGTCGTTTCTCACTCCCTCCATCGTGTAGGTCTTCCCCGTCCCCGTTTGGCCGTAAGCGAAGATGGTTCCGTTGAAGCCCAGCAGAACCGAGTCGACCAGCGGCCTGAAGGTCTCATCGTACAGATCGATCTGTTTGGAGCTGCTGTCGTAAACCGAATCAAAGGTGAAGACTTTGGGGAGCGCTCCGGCCTCCCGCGGGTTCCGGACCATAATCTGGCCCAGTTTCACGTTGACTGAAACCACCGCTTCAAATTTGGAAGCCTTCTCCTTGTCGTTCATGGGGCGACAGCGGACCACCACCTTGACGGACTCGGAGCTCTTGGCCTTGGACATGTCGGGACGCCGTGTCCGGTTCTCCTGGCACCTCGGGTCTGACGAGCACAGCTTCAGAAATCCTTTACCTGGGAAGACGCCCCCAACTGGGGGCAGAAAGGAATTACACTCTACATTTTCACAACTTTTTCTTTGGACTTTTGATGCTTTTCTGCTCATTTTCAGTCAAACTGCTGTAGAAGATGTTTCCCCTCTCATCCAAGAGGTGGTGAGGTAATCTTAGGCTGGAACCAACCAAGCCTTTTGGATGAGAGGACCAGCAGGTCCCAACAGATCCCAGTCTGGAATTAAATCCCTCCATCATGATGCTGTTCAGCCATAAAGCTGAACCCAGCCAGCAGGCAGGGCCTCTGGGATGGAGACCAGCCTTTCTGGAGCCTCCTGTGGAGGCGTCCATCCTCCGGTCTCGCTGCCTATTATCGGCTCACCGGTTCATAGGTCAGACTTAAGTGGCTTAAAAGAAGCATTCCTTTAACAATCCAATACTGAAGTTGAGAGAAAAACAACTTTAAATTACCTTTAAAATCACCTTAAGGAGAGCAAACCGCCGCAGAAAGCCGTCAGCTGCTGGGATCCAGAGCTCAGGAAGCGGCTAACAGGCGGAGGCAGACCGGTTCTAACTGGATGCGGCGCAGCCGATAGCAACCCACCGACCCGGGGCAGCGCTGGATGACAGCAGGCGGTGAACCAGCCTGCGCCCTCAAAGCGTCTTTTAACAGTTAAATTAAGCTCATAGCAGCCGGCTAATGTAGCGGCTCGGCTAACATTAGCTTAGCTCCCACACAGTCCGCAGAGACAGAGCCAAACACCGGCCTAGCAACGGCAAACACACCGAGGGGAACCGGGCCCGCACCGCCCGGCTGCTGCTGGCCTCACAATCCGACAGGAAGTGGATAAAATCCGGGGTTTAGATTTACCGGTGGCCGCTGCTCTTCTTCTGCTCTTTATTAGCGGTTGGTAACAAACTTAGTAGCATTACCGCCACCTACCGGTGAGGAGTGTGGATCAGAATGACCCTAATTATAAACATACTTATATTTATTTATCTATATATCTATAATATTACTTTACAAATACTAAATCCTCCTAATCATTCCTGTTAACATAAAATATTTAAATAAATATCGATAATTTTTTTTTTACTTTTTCTGCAGAATATTTATCAAATCCAATTTTACTTTCTCCTTATTTAGGTCTCTTACCAAATTCTTTATTTCTTCTTCATACGTCTTACAATAAATCACTACATGATCTATTGTTTCGTCTTGTCCACAAAGTTCACATTTCCCTGACATATGTGTCCCTATTTTGAACAATGCATTATTTAATGCTTTATGCCCAAATCTAAGTCTTGAAATAACTGTTTCCTATCCTCTGCTTCCTTCTGCTCTCCTCATTTTTTTCTCCTCCTATAAAACCATCTTCCTCTCCTTTTCTTCTTCCCATTATTTTTGCCACCTTTCCTTAATCCTTAGTTTAATGATACTTTTCAATTCTGTCTTACCTAAGTTAATCATCATATCAATGCTTTTATTTTGTGATGCTTCCTTAGCAATCTTGTCTGTATTTTAATTTCCTTTAATCTCTATATGTGCTGGCACCCAAATAAATATAACACTAATAGCATCATTTGAACTTGATATAAAACTTGCTGTATTTCAATTAAAATGTCTGATCTACTTTCCGAACTATGATTTTGTATATTAATTAAAGCGGAACTCGAATCTGAACATATAATTGATCTTAATGGTCTCACTTCCTCTATCCATTGTAATACTAATAATACTGCCAATAGTTCTCCTGTATATATTGACTATTCATTATTTAATCTCCTACTTACTTTGATATTGAACTCTGGAACAGAAAATGCAATACCTAGCCTATTACTCCCACTTTTAGATGCATCTGTATATATTTGAATATAACCATAATAACTATTAACATATTCCTGTATCAGTTTATGATAAATATTGCCTTCCTTTTTCTTTTCCAATCATGTCAAATCCACTGCAGTTTCAGGTATGATCCAGGGAGGGATTGCTGCTAACGGTACAGTTGGACTACATTTAATTTGATCTAATTTAAGTTATCTTAGTTTTTTCCCCGCTATCCATCCAAACCTTCCTTTTTGTCTCCCTTTCCAACATGGCTGCAGTGTTTCTTCTGTAGGATGATCTGGACCATGACCCTGTAAACTAACCCAGTCATTTAGCGACAGTTGTCCTGATTTCCAGGCATTTCTCCAGTTTCAACCTGCAATGTTGTTTTAAATGCTCCTGTAATCAATCTTAAAGCTTGTGTCTGTATATACTCTAACCTTTTAAGTGATGTAATAGCTGCTGAATCATAAACCACACGACCAAAGTCTATTGCTGATCTTATTAATCCTGTATATATAGATTTTAAAGTGGTTCTCTCTGCTCCCCACTCATGACCAACTAAACATAACATTCAAAACTTTTTTGCACTTTTCAATAATTTTCTGCATATGAAATGCCCATTTAATTCTATCATCAACCATAAACCAAGGAATTTAAAGTTTTTGACCCTTTCTATCTCTTGATTATATAATTTAACCTTCACCATACTATAATTTTTTTTTTAAATAAAAAAAGTTTTCTATTTTCCCACTGAATGTTTGAATCCCCATTTATACGACCAATCTTCTATCTTATTAATAGCTTTTTGTAATTTTTTTTTACCATTATCACCAGTAATCCGACCTCTCACCCAAATTGTCCCATCATCTGCAGAAAGAGAAAACCCAAACCCATTTTCTATCTCTTTAAAAACATCATTAATCATTATAGAAAGAAGTAATGGACTTATTATGCATCCTTGAGGTGTTCCATTTTCAATAAAATATTTTGAAGAATAACTCTTTCCTATTCTAACCTGTATTTTCCTTTCACTAAAAAAATCTTTTAGCCACCTATATATTCTACCTTTAATATCCATCTTCAGCAGTTTGATCATCAGTCCTTCTCTCCACATCATATCGTACTCTAGAATGCAGCCACGACACTTTCTCTATTTATTTGTGCTTTTCTAATTTCGTGTTCTAGAAACAAAGATGGATCCATGGTATCTCATTGGTCATTGATCATTTTCTCCATTATTTTGTAAATATTTGAGGTTAAAGCAACAGGCCTGTCATTTCCTGGATTATCATTTCCTGGTTTACGTGTTGGTGTGATCACAGCTTCTTTCCAAACCTTTGGCACTTTTCCCTCCTCTAGTTATATAATTCCAACAAAATCTCCTTTGATGGTTCACTAAGTTGACTTATCATGATATAATATATTTGATCTTTTTTATGGAGCTGTCCTCTTTATTTTCTTTAGTGCACGATTTAGCTCTGTTTTTGTTAATGGTACATTGATTAATTTATTGTTCTCATCATCTTGACTTAATATCTCTACATTCTCTACCTTTAAATCTCTACATTCTCTA